CTGGCTGCCAGCCTGGGCCAGAGCTGCCTGCAGTGCGCCGGCGCCGAGGGCGGCCGCAGCCAGCGCATCGTCTACTCCTGCCAGCTCTGCCCCTTCGCCTCCCACTACTCCAGCCACCTCAAGCGCCACATGAAGACACACAATGGGGAGAAGCCTTTCGCCTGCCCGCAGTGTGCCTACGCCTCTGCCCAGCTGGTGAACCTGACCCGGCACCTGCGCACGCACACCGGGGAGAAGCCGTACCGCTGCACGTGCTGCAGCTTCGCCTGCAGCAGCCTGGGCAACCTCAAACGCCACGAGCGAGTCCACAGCCAGGACAAGCCCTTCCAGTGTGCTGCCTGTGACTATCGCTGCAACCAGAGCCGCAACCTGAAGCGGCACATGCTCAGCCACCGCCTGCCCGAGGGCGAGGGGCCACACCGGCGGGACAAGGACCCAGGTAATGGTGGGAGGGTGCAGGGATGTGGGGAGAGCTGATTTTGGGGCTGGGGCAGGGCACAGATCATGCCATTGATCCAAAGTCCTGTTACTGCCAGTCTCAGCGGGGCACTGTGGCTTGTCATAGAGCCAATCCTCGCTGGCGCTGTGCCGCCCAGCTCACAACCCCATCTCTTTGTCCCGCAGAGCCACTGCTGCCAGAGCTGAGCCTGCATGTGGGCAGCGGCAGCGGCCCCTTCCTGCCCGGCTGCGCACGGCTGCGGGGCGAGGAGGCAGCTGCGCTGCCCGAGCTGCTCTTCCCCTTCACCTGCCGCATGTGCGGGCTGGTGCTGGACGACGGGTTCGCGCAGGACGAGGGCCTGGCCGAGCAGGTCTGCGGGCGCTGCAGCCTGGCGGTGCTGGGCACAGAGCCAGGCGCCAGCCCCCGAAAGGGCACTGGGGACAAGGGCTTTGCCTGCAGCCTCTGCCCCTTCGTCACCCACTACCCCAACCACTTGGCACGGCACATGAAGACGCACAGCGGGGAGAAGCCCTTTGCCTGCCCGCTCTGTCCTTATGCCTCCGCCCACCTGGACAACCTGAAGCGGCACCAGCGCGTGCACACAGGCGAGAAGCCCTACAAGTGCCAGCTCTGCGACTATGCCTGCGGCAACCTGGCCAACCTCAAGCGCCACGGGCGCATCCACTCAGGCGACAAGCCCTTCCAGTGCAGCCTCTGCAGCTACAGCTGCAACCAGAGCATGAACCTGAAGCGGCACATGCTGCGGCATACGGGCGAGAAGCCCTTCCAGTGCCGGGACTGCTCCTACACCACTGGTCACTGGGACAACTACAAGCGCCACCAGAAGATCCACGGCCACACAGCCGAGAGCTGGGTGAACCCACGCAATGCCAAAGCCCTCCTGGCCCCTCCAGCCGTGGGCACGGCCCTGCCCTGAGACAGCACTTAGCCTGGCAGTGGGCCTGGGGTGCCTCAGTGCCTGCCTTCTCTGGGGGAGGGAGGACAGGCAGGCAACTCCACGGGGGCTTAGGGCTGCCTTACACCAGGCCCACAGGTGCACTGGGGCCTCCAGCAGCCCTGTCCCGTCTGGGCAGGGTGAAGTCACAACCGGCGGCTCTGACCCTTGCCTGTGCGGCAGCACTGCCACCCCACCTGCCTGTTTCTTCCTGCCAGAGCCTTTCTCTGCTGGGGTTTGGGGAAAAGAGGGGAGTGGGGAACAGGACTGGTTCCATGGCTGCTGCCGTGCTGGTCGGTGTAATTTATATTGTGTATAAAAGCATTAAACAGTCAGTTTTGTTATCTGCTCTTCACCCTGGGGGCCTTGTTCTGCTGCAGAGGGCAGCCCAGGGCTGCCACAGAGAGGGGAGGGACAGCAGCCACCCCCCAACAGACAGCCTGGTACCAATCAGGATCCATTTTAATCATTGTTGCAGTGTGTAAACATCAGTTACTGTCCATTAATGCTCTGTCGGGCTGAGCAGCAGGAGATACGTGGTTACAAGCCTAGATTACGCTGGCGTCTATGAGCGGGTTAGAGGGGACTCTGCGTGGAGCCCCCTGAGACAGCTTACTGCACTCTGTCTTGGAGCACAAACCTAAACGCTAATTTGGCATTAATGGAGCCTGCCTGGGTCTGCCCCAAGGCTGGGCCAGGCCTTCCCAGCTGGGACAGGAGCAGCTCTGCCCCCGTGCTGGGCCAGGCCTTGCACTGCAGCTCCAGGGCTCTGCCCGGGCAAACCGTTCAGGTCAAACAAGCCCTCTCCCAGCTGGAGCCAGCAGCGGGAGGAGTTCAGCTGCCCCCACCTCGAAGGCAATGGTGGGTTGGGGGTGAGCTCCCAGCCCCGGGGAGCAGGGAAAGGTGGATGTAGCAGGTGAGAGGCACGTTGATTGCAACCTGGCTGCAGGTCATACATTCCTCAGCGAAGGCCCTTGCTCAGGCCGGGGCTGTCCTGGGATAGGGGGCACTACAGATCCTCATCGCCAATGCCCTCAAAGGCATAATTGCCATGGAAGTCATTAGCACCCACATCGTTTGCAGAGCTGGAGTGGCTGATCCCACGCAGGCTGACGGAAGTGAGCTTGCTCTGTGGAGAAGAGAGATGTTAGCGAGGACACCCCTAGCTCCCCATCCCACTTAGCCTGAGGTCGCTGGTGCACCCGCACACAACTCACCGAGAGTTTGGCCATGGGCTCCCAGGAGGCATCGGGTGAGTCCTGTGAGGACAGCACAGTTGGGCAGCTCAGGGTCATGGAACACAACACGCCCCTCTCCTTCTACCCACCCTCCTCCGTCCTCAGGGAGTCTGGCTCACTGAGCTGGTCCAGGACCTCCTTCCCTTCCCAGGGCTCTGGAAGCAGGGCACCGCAGCCCTGCTGTCCTCTGGGCTTGCCCCAGACAAGGGGATAGTGGCTCCTCTGGGGGCAGTGAGTTCTGGTACACAACATGACAGAGCCTGTGGTTGCACATGTCCCCTTCCAGGGGCTGCAGGGTCCCACTCACCAGCAGCGGGGGTGACTTCACAGCTTGCTGGCTGTCAGAGCGCCGCAGGGCCCCATTCACCCTCCGCCGAAACATCTGCAGGGACGAGCTCAGCTTAGCCACAGGGTCCCCAGCATCAGCTCTGGGTCTTGTAACTGGCCCTGGGGATGCTGGCCCCACCGTGAGTGGAGCACTCAGCAGCCAGCCCAGACCCCAGGAAGTCACAGGGCCAGGTTGGGATACCACCCCGGAGCCATCATCTGGCCTCAACCCTCACCTTGCGGATGCTGCCTCCAGACTTTTTCACCATCAGCTCATCTACCATGGACTGCAAACAGATGCTCAGCATGATGGCCTGAAAGCAAGAAGTGTCATGGGGCTGTCTTCACCCCACAGCCTTCCCACACCCCATGCAGGGCCAAACAAAGCCCTTGCCCCCTTACAGCCACCACCAGCCCATCACACAGGCAGCTCTACCTGTGGGCTGGTGATGGTGACCCACTGCAGCCGGTCCTTGCTCATCAGGTACTCAAAAGCCAACTCCAGCTTCACCTCAGACTTCCCTGGACTGCTCCCCGAAGGGCCGTTGCTCATCGGCACCTGCAAGGACACACACACACACCAAGGCTGAGAGCCTCCAAGGGAGAAGTAGCAGCTCCCCAGGCTCCAGTGCAGGTCGAGGGCAGCACCAAGCCAAGTGTGGGACACCTGCACAGTCCCCACCAGTCTTCTGCCACTGTCAGGTCCCCTCAAATGTCATCAAACCAATGATCTCCTCATCCCCAAGACATGATTCAGACCCTCTCCAGGCCTGCTGGGCCAGAAGCTGGCATCAGAGCCCGCACCTTTCCCAGGAAGAGGGAAAGCCCAGCCTGGCACAGACAGGTCTCTCCAGCCCTGACAGACCCTTCCCTGGTCTCCAAGCGTCACTCACCGAGGATGTGACCCGCCAGCACCGCATGCGCGTGACCTTGAAGCTGCCCTCTTTGATCTGCTCATTCGGCAGCCGCACCTGGAAGTTGAGCTCGTTGTTGCCGGCGCTGACGACGACATGGCAGCCCTTCTCAGGGAAGTCGGTGATGCAGGGGTCGAACTTGAGATAGCCGTAGTACTTCAGGGTCTGCGCCAGGCGGATGAACTGCAGGCAGAGCCAGGGATGCTCAGCACTGCTGGCCGCCTGCCCAGGCCAGGAACAGGTGACCACCCCGGTCACATGGAGAGGGGCTAGTGCAGTGCCAGAACTGCCCCAATCATGCCATTCTACCCTCTCCTACCTCCTTCTTGGAGACCTTTTCTTGCAGGGACTTCAGCTGCCGGTGCTGCTCCTTGTTGACAAGGATCCATCCATGTTCAATGTCTGACACCGTCTACAAGGAGCAGAGGTTGATGAGCACCCAGGACCAGAGCTACCCAAGGCCCTGCACAGCTGTGGTGCAGCATCCCTCCTCACCTGGCTGTGCCACACCAACCCTCACCTGTGCATACAGCAAGTTCAACCCCACACGATGCTCCATCACATCATCATCATAGGCCGAGTCCCAGTAGCTGCAAGGGAGCCACATGGATTAGCCAACTCCCCACCTCCTAACAGCAATGAAGAGAAAATCGGCTTCCTGTGGGCTGGCTCGCTGGCCAGCTCCCCCTAACCAACAGTCACTGTGCCCTGCTCCCCATCTAAACCAGTTGCCACAGGAAGGCAGAAATGGGCTGAGCACAGCGGGGCAGCCCATGCTCCAGTGTCATGGTCAGGGATGCTCAGGTGTGTTCCTGGGGGCCAAAGCATCTGTGGGCAGCAATGGCAGGAGGGGAGGGTCTCTCTGTGGAACAGGGAGCCCTGGGCACCACCCCACTGCTGCCCCACACTCACCTCTTGCGCAGGATGATCTGGAACTCAGGGTTGTGCAGGCTGGTGACCGACACGTACGGCAGCTCAAACTCCTGCAGCTTTCTCACAACTGCGGGGAAACGCCGGCTCAGCAGCAGCTCTGGGCAGCAGGAGCCCCTAGGCCCCCACCATCAGAGTGCCCCAAGGAAAACAGCTGGGCCCCCCACCCAGGGTAGGGTCCAAGCACACAGCCCTCACTCCAGGCAGGGGGCAGAGCAGATGCCCCACTGCAATGGGCTCTACTCACAGGAGAAAGCTCCACCCTTGGTCTGTCTCACTAGAAAGAGGCTGAAGTAGCCAACCAGGTCATCTGGCAGATCCAGCTTGGAGGCCACAGCCTGGAAGGAAGAGAAGGATAGTCCCCATATAGTCCCAACATGGTGGCAAGACCCAGCTCATGCACATTCTGGGTGTTCATGCACATTCTCCCAACACCAAGAAGGCAGCACCTCTGCTGCCCTGTGGCCAGGTCTGGGGCTCATTGCAACCAGGAAACAGCCAGGGGACCCCAAACATCAATCTGGACCCAGACACACCCATCAGCACACCCATGTCAGCTCCCAGCTTTCAGCTCCACCAAGTCAACCCTGCTCCAGGGTGGGCAGATGGCAGAGGAGGGCAGGGGGGACTACCAGGCTGAGAGAGCCCCACACATGTGAGAAACCACAGAACACAGCAGGAGGGGCTGGAACAACAGCTCTGGCACCTCAAGGACATCCTCTGTCTGGTCCGACGTAAGGATGGTGACCTTGACCTTCTGCCCATTAGAAAGCAGCACTTCCAGCACCACCTCCTCTGTGGGGATCTGCTGCGTCTCCTGGAGAGAGAAACAGGACTGGCACCCCAGCTCCCTGCCACAGACTGAGAGCCCCAGACCCTCCCCACAGCTCTGCCCCCTCACCTGCTGTGCCTTGCGCAGGAAGCTGTTGAAGGTCTCGCTGCCTCCCAGCATTGGGTCCTGCCGCACTGCAGGAAGGGGCACGAGGAGTCAGGAGTCCCATGGGAAGGGGCAGGGACCCACACCAGTGCCTGGCCCTTCTGCAGCCCCTGTTTGCCCTCAGACTGTGTGCTGGACCCCCCCCTGCACATTCCCACTCTGCCAGTGCAGGGCGGGGGCTGGGACAGGAGCTGGCATCCAGGGGACAAGCCCATCGAATGCCAGTGCTATACTGGGAGCTGCAAGATGTGCCACGGTGGATGGAGCAGTGCAGGGAGGAAGCCATGGGCCATGCTCCATGCCCTGCACAACCGGGCTGGGGCAGGCCCAGCTTACCAGCCTGCATGTACTTCTCCAGCTGCTCCCGTCGCTGCTCTACCTCCGCTGGGGTGAGCGTGAAGATCTTCTTTGGGGGAAAGGCTGGGACCACATTGGTGCCATACTCCTTCCTCAACTAGGATAAGAACAGAGTGCTGCAAGAGCCTCCAGAGAGATGGTGGCTGCCCTGATCCCCCACCCTCACAAGGGCAGCAGAGAGCTTGTTAGCATCCCTTATCCACATGGGAGTCCAGCAGCATGCAAGAACCCAGCTGGAATGTCACAGACCAGGAGCGGGGACGGCGGCTCCCAGCGCCCTCCCTACCTGCTCGTGCAGGCCCAGGAGCTGGCTGTAGCGCACCCGGCAGTGCAACACCCCGTTCACGTGGATGTTGTAGGCCTGCAGGGAAAGAGGCCTGTCAGATCCCAGCTCCTGTCAGATGGAGGAGTCCCAGGACCTGCCCAGCTTGGGGCACATAGGCTGCCAGGGAGTACCCAGGAAAAGGCAATAAATACTCCTGAGGACCCTGCTGAAGGGCAGATGGTCAAAATCATTCAGGAAGTATGAGCACATCCAAGAGATGTGCCCACCGTGCTCCAGGAAGGTCTAACCCTGTGGCTGCCCAGCCATGGGGAGTACAGAGCCACACTGCAGCCCTGCAGACATAGATGTCCCCATGTCAACAGACAAGGACACCCCACTCCCAGGAGTTCACAAGGAGCTGGTCCCTGGCTATACCTCCTCTGCTCTGGCTCAGCTCCTGCTGACAACACAGGCAGAGCACAGCTACGACTGCAGAACATACAGGGCCTAGCAACTCCATGGTCCAGCTCCCGGCACCTCGCCGTAGATAGAGTCCTTGCAAGGGACAGCACTGTCCTCTCAGGTCCTGCCACACCCAGAGTAGTGTTTGGGAGGGTGACAGGATGGACGTGAGCTTCCAGCCAGCCATGGCAGCCCATGGATGCCCCTGGTGCCGTCCTGCTCCTGAGCGCTGGGACTGCCCAAGGCTCAGCAGAGGTCCCAGCCCAACCAGGCTGGAGCTCACACTGGCACTCCCAACCCAAAGGCACAGGCCAGTGGCCCAGGGTTGCTGTGCAGGAGCCAGGAGGGACAGCAGTGGTACAGGCAGAACCCACACACGCCCAAATCAGGGCTCTCCATGAGTTCACAGCTCCTGCCCGGCCCCTGGGCTGCCCAAGGGCTCTCCCCAAAGCCTCCCCCAGGCCTGAGGAGCCTCTGCAACAGCAGAGGGCAAAGTGCAGGGGGGTCACAGGGCTGAAATGCCTCGATGGCTGCCTGCTCCTTTGGCCCTTGAACAACTGCACCTCCTGGGCATCACCAGGTCTCTCCATCACAGCTCTACCCCCGTGAACGTGCCCCGACTCAGGCTCCCGAGGAGGATCACCCAGAGATCTGGGAATTTCGGCACAGGGAGCAGGCGTGGAGGTCTTCGCAGGGCCGTGAGGCCCAGGGCTGCCCCCCCCTTACCCCGAGAGCACCGATTC